TATCCGCAGAAGAAACTGCTTCCCATTTGATTCCCTGGTTGTTTTGTCCACCAGATCTTCGCAAGGTAGTTCACTGTTTACAGAGAGGGTGCGAACAACAAAGTGGTGCTCAGCTAACAGCTCTGCGCTTTTCTTAGCCTGAACATCCATTACAGAGCGTCAGACGTATATTGCAGAAGTCAGACGATAAGACCGTCAAACCGATCATCGACTTGCTATGCACAAGCATCCCTATACCAGGTATACTGAGTAAAGCTTAGATGTTCGAAAATGTTCATAATAGACAGTCCGTTGTTTGCACAAAACCGCAACAACTTCATGCCGTTTTGTTGAGGTCCCTAGGGCCGTTCCTTGCAATCACGTCCTTCCACTTTGCAGTATCTGCTATGACATACGCACTGAAACCGCCAATTAGAATGATGGACTCCGTAGTCAGCACAGAACATACTCCAGTTCCTCAAGGAAGGACTGATATTCTGATTCCAAATTAGGCGCATAGACCTGTACCAACGTAACAGCTTTAGCCTGTTGTAGCTTCAGTCGGAGGATTGCCATTCATCCGCCCACAGGCTCCAATTCAATGATTTTGACAGCCAGGTTTTGTTCTACCAGAACACCAACACCGGCCTAAGCGCGCATCGTAATATCGACATATCAGTAGAGCAGCTCCACCCGCAGAAGTTCAGAATTCCGAGCCTCAGCGCCTCGTTGAAGAGAGTCCAGCTGCGTCGCACTGGTACCTGGCGGCACCATCAACTAGCTCCTGCTCTTTTCCTCTCAATGAGATGTTCCAATTTCTGACTGTATCGTTCCGTTGATGCATTATCTGAGGTGCTACAATGGTCTTTTACAGGCTATCCTTCCAAACCTCAAAGACCAACACATGCAGCAACACTACGCGATAACGTACAAAAAGGGTAGGACTTTATTTATAGAGCAGCTGCTTTGCCCTCCAAAACTTAACAACTGACTGCCGTGCCTTTAGGAAACGTTAAAGTGATGAAATCTGGAATATCCGAACTGTGCTGTCGTAAACCAAATTGCGGACCATTACTAGAATTTAATCATCAAAACTTCTGCCTGACAAGCCGCGTTAGCGAGTCTCTCCTGTATCAAGGCGTCAGATCTGTCTACGAATATGCTCAATCTACAACCAAAACGCATACCGACTTGTAAGACATTGTTCACCCTCCGACAAAAAGGTTGAGAAAAGAATGGCATCACTAGTCTTCCAGTTGTTCCAGAAGTTATGAACTACATCACAGACTACTACTGTGAATCCAATCGATAGTAAACAAGTTGTGGCCGAACAGTCTGAGCAAGTAACAGCAGAAAAATTATCCCACTTCCGGCAATGATAATGACGGGCGGCGCCCAGATGAGTG